CTAACCCGAGTGAGAACAGCCCACATCACAAAGTCCCAAAGTTGCAAATGTAGATGTAGAGAGAGGAAAACTTATACACTCTTGGTGGGACTGCAAACTAATACAACCCCTTTGGAAAGAAGTATAGAGAGTCTTCAAAGAACTCAAATTAGACCTCCCATTTGATCCTGCAATCCCATTACTAGGCATCTACCCATAAGAAAAAAATCATTTTATCATAAGGACATTTGCATTAGATTGTTTATCACAGCTCAATTTACAATCGTCAAGATATGGAAACAACCTAAATCCTCATCAACCCAGGAATGGATTAACAAATTGTGGTATATGTATACCAAAGAATACTATTCAGCCTAAAAAATTATGGAGGCTTTACAACTTTTTTATTAACCTGGATGGAGGTGAATCACATTCTTCTTAGTAAAGGATCACAACAATGGAAAGGCAAATACACAATGTACTCAATACTAATATGAAGTCAGTAGACCATCTAATACCCACACAAGAGAAAAACTCAATCCAATTCAAGTAGGATGGAGGGTGCATGAAGGAGGGAGAAAGGGGAGGAGGAGAGGGTACTGGTGTGCTCCCACTTACTGGGTACAGTATAAGGGTATATGATACATCTTTTGGGTGTGGGACACAACTACAAGAGGGGCTCTACCTAACGGATGCAAAGATTATAACTTAACTGTTTGTACCCTCACATTAACCTGCAATAAATAAACAAAACAAAAAGTAAAAAGAAGAATGAGAGAAAAACTCACTTTCAGATACACAAAAATTAAGATTGCATGCCAACAGACTTTCACTACACAAACACTAAAACATGCATTTTATAACGAAGAAAATGATCACAGAAGTAGTGTAAAGTTGGGTCCCCGATCCCTGTGCTGCAGACCAGTGTATGTTCTTGGCTTGTTAGGAACTAGGCTGTACAGCAGGATGTGGGGGGCAGGAGAACAAGTGACCAGGGAACAGTGTCCCCCATTACTCCCCAATGTTCCTATCACTGCCTAAGCTCCACCTCCTGTCAGATCAGCAGCGTTAGATTCTCATAGGAGCGTGAACCCCACAGTAAACTGCGCATGCGAGGGAGGGATCGAGGGATCTAGGTTGTCTGCTTCCTGTGACTCTAAATGCCTGATGAGGTGGAGCTGAGGCACTGATGCTAGTGATAGGAAATGGCTGCAAATACAGATTATCTTTAGCAGAGAGGCTTGACTGCACAGAGATCATGATAAATCAATTGCTTGCAGACTCATACCAAAACCCTATCATTAAGAGCCAAGTGACAATTCAGCTGCCTCTGGTTATAATCTACAACACACTTCAGGAGTCAAAGCCTCCCATTACCCTCAGATGAGACCAGCTACTTGCAGAAAAATAAGCTCGGGCTCCCACTGATTCTGCATTACAGTAAATTGTATAATTATTTTATCATATATTACAGTGTGATAATAGAAATAAAGTATATGATAAATATAATGTGATTAAAATTATCCTGAAACAATCCTCCCACCCCAGTCTATGAAAAAATTATCTTCCATGAACTCAATCCTGGGTGCCAAAGAGTTTGGTGACCACTGGTATAAAAAGAGATAGATGAGGCCAGGGAAGTGGGTAGGAGTCAAATTATGAAGGTAGAGCATGCTACGCTAAGGAATCAGAGGCTCCGCAGAGATCCAGGAAGGTTCTAAACAGCAAAGTGATTTGATTATACCTGTTCATATTATTCTGTCTGGCTTTCCCCTTCATGTTTTTGGCTCTTTAAGATATAATACAAATGTCATTTTCACTCCAATCTCACTATGATATATCCCACTCCTAAATTTCTACAGCACTTCTTAAAGAAGATAGGATACTTAGAACTTAGGTCTCAAATGGCCAACTTATGACATTTAGACAACTAAAGTAGTAAATCAGCTCAAATACTTCAGTATCCCCCATTTATACAGTGTTGTTTAAAATATAAAAAAGTTGTCCGTGGGGCAGAGAAGTCTGAAGTTAAGAAATAAGAACACTATAAACAGATAAAAGAAAGACCTGGTGGGAAGAGAATATCTTGTTTAATTTTGCCAATTTCTTTTTTGCTGATATGGTGCCAGAAAAAAAAATCAATCACATGGGGGATACGCAACAAAGGTGTGATGTAAGATAAAAATGTTCATGTCGGCTCGGCGCCTACAGCTCAACCGGCTAAGGCGCCAGCCACGTACACCTAAGGTGGCGGGTTCGAATCCCCAGCCCGGACCTGCCAAACAACAATGATGGCTGCAACCAAAAAATAGCCGGGCGTTGTGGCGGGCGCCTGTGGTCCCAGCTACTTGGGAGGCAGAGGCAGGAGACTCGCTTGAGCCCAGGAGTTGGAGGTTGCTATGAGCTGTAATGCCACGGCACTCTACCCAGGGGGACAGCTTGAGGCTCTGTCTCAAAAAAAAAAATGTTCATGTCAACATATTTACTACTTCGTTTTAGAAGGAATTAACAGAATGGTAAAGTTAGAATTTCTTAAACATTATCAAACATTTAAAAGTTTAACGAAAAACTAAAATATTCACTTTCTGTTGAATACCTGGAAGGTTCCCATTGCAGTCCACATCTTCTATGCTACATCCCCATTTAACAAGAAGTTGCAAACATCCAAGCCGCCCGTGAAAAGCTGCATAATGTACAGGTCTCCATTCTCTCTTATCAGTCATGCTGGGATCCTAGAGTTAACATTCACAAGGACTTCATTTCTTTCCATTCTATAGAGAAAACATTAAGTCTAGCAACTTAATTCTAATAAGAATTGGAAACTTAAAAATATAGTTTTAAGTGTATTTAAAACACTAAATACAATAGAAAAATTTACTGCAACCACTAATTTGAACATATGGGCTAATAAGACATTAGTGAACTTTTAAAAAATAGCCTTTTAAAAAAGAACTAGTCAAATTAAATAATTTTTTTTTTTTTTTTTTTTTGCAGTTTTGGGCTGGGGCTAGGTTTGAACCCGCCACCCTCCGAGATACAGGGCCAGCGCCCTACTCCTTTGAGCCACAGGCACCGCCCCACATTAAATAATTTTTTAAAAAGAACTTAACTAGTCATTTTACTAATCACAGATTCCTAATGAATAGGATCATGCCTATAATCCCAGCACTCTGGAAGAACAAAGCAGGAGGACTGTTTGACCTAAGGCGTTTGAGACCAGCCTGAGCAAGTATGAGACCCTGTCTCTACTAAAAATAGAAAAATTAACTGGGCACGTTGGTGAGTGCCTAGAGTCCCAGGTACTGGGTAGGGTGAGACAGGAGGATCACCTGAACCCAGGAATTTGATGTTGCCATGAGCTAATGCCATAGCACTCTAGCCGAGGCAGGAGGGAGGGAAGGAGGGAAGGAAAAACATCATTGTACTAACTCTTACCATAATACCTTTCATATCAATAATAGGGTAATATTAAAAACAAACACTACAATAAACACTTCCAGAGGAATAAACCAATTTCTAAATTCATATGTGAAATAAGAGTTTCAAAGAAATACATAAGACAGAAATTCATAAAGATTTACAATCACCTGGTTAAAATTTGTTTAGAAGCTTCAGAATCTACCCAGTTAAACTTTGAACTGGTATGAAGAACCCAAAACCTTGGAAACACCTTGTAATACTAAACTGGCTGTTTTGGGGAAAAGGGAAATATCTCTGAATTATTGCTCCCATGTTTAAAGATGGAATAGCTAGAGAGAAAAATTAAATTACTTTTCCAAGTCACATTAGAGATTTAATAAGTCGGAAAGAGATAACCAGACTACCAAATGCTATCCTATCCTTGAGCTTATACATTAGCACACATTCACAGGAGTCCCTCACCACTCCACTTCGGAGCATCATTTGTAAAGTGAAAGAATGTCCATGAGTTGCAGCAAGATGTAAAGGAGTGCATCCACGATCATCTTGAGCTGTCAGATTTGCTCCATTGATTATAAGAGCCTAAAAATAAAGAAATGAAACAAGTTGACATGAACATACATGTTAAATCATAAGTGGAAATACAGATTTTTTTTAATGTTCTTATATATGTGCTACAAGCAAACTGTGAAAAAATGTTTGAGGTCTTTTTTTGTTGTTTTTAGAGACAGAGTCGCACTCTGTCACCCTCAGTAGAGTGTCGTGATGTCACAGCTCACAGCAACCTCCAGCTTTTGGGCTTAGGCAATTCTCTTGCCTCAGCCTCCTGAGTAGCTGGGACTACAGGCACCCACCACAACGTCTGGCTATTTTTTTGTTGTTGCAGTTTGGCTGAGGCCAGGTTTGAACCCACTACCCTCGGTATATGGCGCCAGCGCCCTACTCTATGAGCCAGAGGTGCCGCCCAAGGTCTTTTTTATATAGACCCTAGGAGACACTTATAATATCTGATTTATAATATTCTGATTTGAGCATGTACATACAAATTATAAGAACACTTTGCATGAGCAGAAATTAACAACCACTACAATACTTTACTGCTAAGCTAATAAAACTGAACTTTAAACATTCACTATTTTAAAAGCAGAATCTGCCAGATGTGGTGGCTCACACCTATAATCCTAGCACTCTGGGAAGCCAAAGCATGGATTGTTTGAGCTCAGGTATTCGAAACCAGCCTGAGCAAGACCAAGACCCCATCTCTAAAAATAGCTGGGCATCATGGTGGGTGCCTATAGTCCCAGCTACTTGGGAGGCTGAAGCAAGAGACTCACTTGAGTCCAACAGTTTGAAGTTGCTGTGAGCTATGATACTACAGCACACTACTGAGGGCAACAAAGTGAGACTCTGTCTAAATAAACAAATGCATAAGAATCTTTTATTAACTGCGTTTTGACTCAATGAAAGAATTTAATTATTAAAGTTACTAGATCTAAGTTCCAAATCAAGCTTCTAACTACATCTAACTACATTCCATGTGAATTTGCAATTGGTCCAGTTTCTAAATATAGGTTATATCATAAACACAGTACACCCCTCTACATAATATATAGAGTAAATGGTTTAAAAGAATTACTAGTACTCAACTTCAAGAGTAAGTACTATAAAGCTACAGTAATCAAGATAGTGTGTTATTGGCCAAAGAATAAACAAATGATTGATGGAACTGAATAAAGAATTCAGAAACTGACTTTTGACAAAGGATCAAAGGCAATATGATGGAGAAAAGATTGTCTTTCCAACAAATGTTGCTGGAAGAACTGAATATCCACATTCAAAAACAATGAAACTAAGCACACACTTTACACCCTTAAAAACATTAACTTTAAATGGTTCACAAATCTAAAACTATAAAACTCCTAGAAAATAGCACAGGTAAATAACACTAAGAATCTGTTTCCTAATCTATAAAAAGGGGAACTCATAGAATTGTTGTGTTAAGTGAGATGATGCATGGGAGACTATGACTGACACATAATAAATGTTCAATAATTGGCTCGGCACCTGTGGCTCAAGTGGCTAAGGCGCCAGCCACATACACCTAAGGTGCCGGGTTTGAATCCAGCCTGGGCCTGCCAAACAACAATGATGGCTGCAACCAAAAAACAGCCGGGGCATTGTGGCAGGCACCTGTGGTCCCAGCTACTTGGGAGGCTGAGGCAGGAGACTTGCTTGAGCCCA